GATGGAATTACAGCGGAGCTTCTGAAAGCGGGTGGAACACCGGTACTTGAAGTCCTTCAGAAGCTCTTCAATTCCGTCCCCCATAGTGGCACTACTCCGGAGGCGTGGAGCAGAAGCACGGTGGTCTTGTTCTTTAAGAAAGGCGACAATGCTCTCTTGAAGAACTACAGACCGATTTCCCTTCTGAGCCGCGTCTACGTGCTGTTTTCGAGAGTCATTACGAATCGTCTCGCACGCAGACTCGACGACTTCCAGCCACCCGAACAAGCCGGTTTCTGAAAAGGCTTCAATACCATAGACCACATACATACATACCCTTCGGCAAATTGTACAGAAGTCCGAAGAGTACAATCTGCCACTTTGTCTGGCGTATGTGGACTATGAGAAAGCCTTTGATTCCGTCGAAATTTGGGCGGTACTACAGTCTCTTCAGCGGTGCCTAGTTGACTGTCGGTATATTGAAGTGCTGAAGTGTTTGTACAGTAGGGCTACGATGGCTATCCGAGTACAGAACCAGAGTTCGAAACCTATCCAACTGCAGAGATGTGTAAGACAGGGTGATGTTATATCCCTGAAACTCTTCACCGCTGCGTTGGAAGACGTTTTCAAGCTACTGGACTGGAAAGGATACGGTATTGACATCAATGGCGAGTACATCACTCACCTTCGATTTGCCGACGATATAGTCCTTATGGCAGAATCGCTGGAGGACCTTAGCACTATGCTCAATGACCTCAATGGTGTCTCCCAACGGATAGGTCTTAAGATGAACATGGACAAAACAAAGATCATGTTTAATGTCCATGTCACACCTATGCCGGTAGTTGTTGGGAGCACTATGCTCGAAGTTGTTGACGAGTACGTTTACCTGGGACAAATAGTCCGACTAGGTAAGTCCAACCTCGACCGAGTAGTCAATCGACGGATTCAACTCGGCTGGGCAATTACGACACATCTTCTCGTCAGGTATACCTCAATCTCTGAAAACTAAAGTGTATATAACCAGTGCGTGTTGCCAGTGATGACTTACGGATCTGAGACGTGGTCCTTCACCGCTGGCCGTATGAGGACGCTCAAGGTCGCTCAGCGAGCTATGGAGAGGGCTATGCTCGGAGTTTCACTGCGTGATAGACTCAGAAATGAGGATATCTGCAGTAAAACCAGAGTGACCGACATAGCCCAACGGATTAGTAAGCTGAAGTGGCAATGGGCCGGCCATATAGCTAGAAGAACCGATAACCGATGGGGAAGAAAGGTTCTCAAGTGGCAGCCTCGTACCGGTAGGCGTAGTGTAGGGCGACCCCCCACTAGATGGAGTGACGACCTGGTAAGACATGCAGGAAGTCGATGGATGCAGGTGGCTCAGGACCGTGCTTTATGGCATTACTTGGGGGGGGGTCTATGTTCAGCAGTGGACTTGTGAAGGGCTGTAATGATGATGATGATGATGACTTCAAAATCCGGAAGGCCCATTTTGGCGGTTGGGTCATAAATGTGTTATTTTTCAAATTCTCATTTATTTTTAGTGTAAAATGTTAGTAAAAATAGTTTTCTTACATATTTCAAATAACTTGACGTTGTATTTATTTCAAATTCACACAAAACTGTTTTTGAAATATTGTTAGAAATGTCATACAGATAAAATATTTTTTTTAATTTTTTAATATTTTAATATTTTGGTATGAGTAACGAATAGAAACACATAAAACATAAAAATATACATATTTCCAAACATTTTCATATAAATTTCTCCAAAAACAAAAGTGTAGAATTCAAATTAGTAGTAATTTTGTCACTAAAATTGAAGTATATACTACTACTATGCTATACATGGTAATTTATGTATTTTATTACAATTTCTAGCAACCAAAAATAATTTTATTCGACAGTTTATACATTCAACAAGAAATTCTATAAGTTTTATCCATAAATATTGTCTCAAAGTGAAAATATAGCAAAATTTGCAATATAGCAAAAAATTTTCTAACTTACAAATTTTCCCGCCATTAAGGTCTCGAGCGAACGGGAGTATAACATGTCGCGCGCTGTCAGAGCGTACATCTTTTAAGGTTTTAATAGGACATGACAAAGATTCGTCGAAAAGGGCAGAACAACGTCTTCCTGGCAAGCTAGTGTAATATAAAAGAGTATGACGATTGTTTTCAATAAAGTGCTAGTTTGTGTTACCTTAAAAGTTGTATAGAACAATTTTTCATATTTAAAAATAAGGCTAGGTGTGTGTGTTGAGAATTTAGCTTTTTATATTTTAGAGAGGATTTTTAATATACTTGTATATTGATTCATGTTTTCTGCCAATGTATCAAAAAGCGTTTGCATAGTCAAAGAGCATGTTGTAGTGAAATATGTTTGACAGTTTATTGTACATTACATATTTTAACTATGTACTATCTTTATAACTACAGAAACAAAATGTTTGAAAACAAATTTGTAGAAATATTGTCATGTTGAAAGATAAGTTTGAATATCTGTTGAAAATTTCACACCGTTTTGTGAGTGCGAACGCCACCATCAACAAAACATGTTGTGTGATTTATTACATGCGATTTGTTTCAAAACATTTCGTGTTGGATGTTTCTCAGTGCAAACGTACTGTAACAGAGACAGCAGGTGGTGGGACTAAAGGTGGGTACAGATTGGTTCAATGCAACATGCAATGCAAGAATTTGAGGTCCACATTGTATGTAATGTAACAGAATTCCCATAGTGTGGACGTCTCGCGCGCACGAACTGCGCCTGGGTCGCGCACGCTCCGAGCGTGACAACTCGTGCGCGGCTCGTTTTTAGTACGAACACAAAGGGGCGCGCAGTATGCGCAGGCATGGTAATATTATCTATACATTATTGTAACTCGGCTGTATCTTCGAAATAAATACCTACAGTCGCGCGGTACGTAAACATGCGATAGGGCTGCCTGCCTCCAGTATTTTTACACTTGCCTACTTTGTGTTTCCATTTAGTTTTATGATTGTGATTGTAAATATACTTTTTTTATATAAACAAATATAATAGGTACTTTGTGAATTGAATAGGAAGTGTTCAATAAAATGCGTGTCGTTTTTTGATCGGTATATTTAATTAAAAATCCATGTTTATGTTTGAATAACAATAAAAATGCGTGTCTCGGTCCTATAAATTTGCGACCGAAAAATATTTGCGGCTCGGCTGAGACGTACGAAATGCTTTATATTAAAGTCCGCATTCTAATATAAAGCTTAATTAAAAATTGTTTTGGGAAACATGGACAAGGTGGAGAAAAGGAATATTTTTACTTGGTTATAGATCCCTGCAGCTATTTTACAATTTATATGTTTGGTTTTAAATGAAGTTCGGATTTATTATTTCTTTATTTCTATTCTATTATTTATTTCAAGAAAGGGGTATGAAAGTGAACGCAAGTAAGACGAAGGTTATGGTTTTTGAAAGAGAAGAAAGTAAAATGATTTGTGAAATAAGAATAGAAGGGGAGTTGATCGAGCAAGTAGATGAGTTTGTATATTTGGGCTGCATATTTAGCAGGAATGGGAGATATGATGAGGATATAGAACGACGAGTGAATGCGGAAAATAGAGTAAATGGGGCCCTGCACTCTATTGTGAAGAGTCAAAATGTGTCAAAAAAGGCACGTATGACAATTCACAATGCTGTGTTGGTACCTACTTTAACGTATGGTAGTGAAAGTTGGGTGTGGCAGAAGAAGCACGAGAGTAGAATCAACACAGTAGAAATGCGGTCCTTAAGGAGTATGTTATGGCTGAATCTGAACGACAGGGTAAGAAATTGTGTAATAAGAGAAGAATGTGGTTTGCAAGATGATGTTGTGACCAGGATTAAGAAAGGAATGCTTCGGTGGTTTGGTCATGTGAAAAGAATGAATGAGGAAAGAGTGACAAAGAAAATTTATGTTGCAGAAGTGAATGGCAGAGTCGGAAAGGGACGTATTACCCTTCATATAAAACGCAAATTAGGAGTACCCTTAACCGACGAGCATGTATGCGCAGGTGTATGGATGTGAAGGAGGCGAGAGAGGTGTGTCAGGATCATGCCAAATGGAAGTCTGTAGTCTCTGCCTACCCCTCTGGGTGACAGGCGTGAGTGTTTATGTGTTATGTGTATATATTTATTTCCTCCATTTTTTATATATATTCCACAAAATCATCACTGCGGCAGTCACGACTTTCTGCATGCCGAGCGCATGCCGAGATCGAGACGCGTAGGCCATAGCTCTCGCCCGTTTGTATAGAGTTGGAATACTGTATAGATAAAATTACCGTGGCCGTATCTTTGAAATAAATGCTTACAGCCGCGCCGTTCGTAAACATGCGATTGGGCTGCCTGCCTCCAGCATTTTAATTACATTTGCCTGCTTTGTGTTTCCATTTAGTTTTGTGATTGTAAATATACTTTTTTTATATAAACAAATATAATAGACACTTTGTGTATTGAATAGGAAGTGTTCAATAAAAATGCGTGTCGTTTTTTGATTGGTAGATTTAATTAAAAAACCATGTATATGTTTGAATAACAAATCTGTCTTATAAATTTGCGACCGAAAAATATTTGCGCCTCGCCTGAGACGAACGAAATGCTTTATTATTAAAATTTTAAGTATAAAAAATCCGCATTCTAATATAAAGCTTAATTAAAAATTGTTTTGGGAAACTTCGACAAGATGGAGAAAAGGAATATCTTTTACTTGCTTACAATCTTTTAATTAATTACAATTTATATGTTTGGTTTTAAATGAAGTTCGGATTTATTATTTATTTATTTCTATTCTATTATTTATTTCCTCAATTTTTTCATATATTCCACAAAATCATCACTGCGGCAGTCACGACCGCATGCCGAGATCGAGGCGCGTGGGCCATAGCTCTCGCTTCGTCCGTTTGTATGGAGTTGGAATACTGTATAGATAAAATTACCGTGGCGCAGGTCTCAGCCGTGAACGGTCTTTCGTTTCGTTCGCATGTGCAACGATCATGGCGGTGAAAGAGGGTGCTTGGAGTGATGACGAGTCACTTTTATTGATAGAGGAATACAGAACAAGGGAAGTTTTATGGAACCCTCAAAATGAAAACTTTTATAAACAAAATTTAAAGAAAGATGCGTGGGACGAAATCGGATATGTATGGAAAATAACAGCAGAAAAGTGCAATAACAAAATGATAAGTCTTCTCTCTTCTTACCGCCGTGAAAAAGGAAAGGAAAAAAAATCCAAGGGTACTGGAAAAGGTAAGAATAACGCATTTTATTTGTTTTTATATAGGTATTTATTACAATTTAAGTCATCAAAAAATTAAGGTACCTACTTAGATAATAAAATCAAATTACAAAAAAGTACAATGGAGTTTATAAATCTAAAAATATTTTTTTTGCATAAACTATTTATACCTAGTTACCTAGCGAATAAAAACATACGTATATTCAATTTATACAGGATGTTTTAAGTCGATTAAATAATAAATAGTTGATAGTTAAACGTGGCTGCCAGAAAAAATTTAATATTAAAAATAACTTTATATTAAAAGAATTAGTAACTAACTATAGGTCAACAATTAAAGTAAAGCTAGTAAATAAATAAAAGTGTATTAATGTATGTGTGTTTTAATGCAGGTACTTCGGACACATACACAAGTCGATGGTTTGCCTACAATGCTTTAAAGTTCTTAGACGATAGAAACACACCAAGAAAGAGAAAAAATACGGTAAGATTTAAACTACGAGCATCTGTCTTGCCAAGAAACCTTTCCTTCATTCATAAAATAATCAGCTAATTCGTCTCTGATAGCATTAAGATGCGCAGGTGATCGTCTAGGGATATTTCTTACAGGCAGTATTGATGTGATGTTATTATTATTTTGCCTCCACGTACGTTCATTTAAATTTCCATCTTCCTCCCTATCAACTAACCCTGGAATCATGTACACGTTTGTAGAGTGACGTTTTAAATAATTGTGTAAAGAGTGATTGCCATAACTACCAATTCAGCTTTATCGGGTTGTAAAAGCATTGGTTTTCTTAAAACTCTGAACACAGACGATACAATGCCAAATACGTTTTCAACAACCCGTCTAGCTCTGCTTAATCTATAATTAAATATTCTCTTCGATGAACCCTTTGGATGTATCCCAGCATATGCCTGCATCAAGTATTCACTTAAAGCAAACGCACTATCGCCTAAAAAATATGGTATAGAAACATTTCTATCGTATAGGGGACGTAACTCTGGCAGGTCTAATGTTCGATTCTCTATCTTATCATATAATTGGGTATCTTTGAAAACTCCGCCATCAGAAATCCTCCCTTGACAACCTACGTCTACGAATAGAAAATTATAGTCTGCATCAACTAGAGCAAACAAAACGATGCTAAAATTTTGTTTATAATTATAAAACTCGGTTCCGCTTTTAATAGGGGCTTGAAGTAAAACGTGCTTCCCGTCCAATGCCCCTATACAGTGTGGGAAGTTCCACCGGTCTTCAAACTCTTTGCTTATCTTCAACCAGGTGTTGGCATTCGCGGGTACCTTAAAAATACTTAAATCATTATAATTATTTCCAGGAGTCCATTCAACGCTCAGTCTCCAAAAACAATGCCACCGAAGCCACGCAACATGAGTTCACCCCTCCAGCACCACCAAATGAGCATGGTCTACAGGAAGCGAAACGATCCAGAAGAGACGAAAACAATGTTCTTACCGATGTAGTGGGGATATTGAAAACAACTGCACAGAAATTGGACAGTTCATCAAGCATTCCTGACTTAACAAAAAGTTTTGTTTCATTTATAGGAGCTAAAATGAGTAACTATTCTTCTCAGACTAGGACTTCGGTTGAACACGCAATATTTGAAATTATTATGAAAACCGACAGGGGATATTATGAATCTTGGCAACATTAACCAAATGCATATACAGAACCTACTCCTATCGTCCCTCAACTTCAGTATCCTACGGTTATACCTCAGCAGAAAATGTAGACGATGCTAACTACTCAATCAACCAGCAGCCTTTGTCGGTCTCTTCACAAGACTCACAGCACTCTTCTATAGATGATTTTACTGATTTAATTTAGTTAACGAAGAAAAATAAAGATTTTGATTATACGTACCTTAATGTTTTCTTTTAATTCTTCAATTATAGCAGAGCACACTTCAGGAACAATTCCACTTATAGATTGTTTAGATACTCTAAATGTATACTGTAGACTTGTGTAAGAGTCCCCGGAGCTTAAAAATCGAAGAGTAATCGCTAGTCTATCTTGGGCTGAAATTGGAGCTCTTAAATTTGAATATTTTCGACTTGCTCTTGGTGCGACTATCGCGAGTAAATTTTCAAAGTCTGTTGGCGTCATCCTCGTAAAACTTTTGTATTGACCACTTATATGCTGGAAATTCATATCTGTAAGCAGTTCTCTGCCTTCTCTCCGTTTATATAATTCTGTGCGCCACCAACGTCGGGGTCTTTGGCGTTTTTTTAAAAGTTGATGAATGATTAACAATGAAGCACTGATAATCGTCAGAGCAAGAAGGCTGTCTTCAGACTCCATGATTCGTAAGTATATCGACTTAAGTAGAGTGATGTGGGCAAAGAAAAGGAACACGTGTGACGAGGGCTAGTGTTTGTAACGAAATGCGGGAACAGATGTTCTCGTTCTGACTCGTAGTCAATGCGCGTACCGCGCGCGCCACACGTCCAAGGCAGCAGGGAACATGTAATGTAAGGCAGAATATTACATTACATGTTGCATTGCACCAATCTGTACCCACCTTAACTTTCTGGCTGTCCGTCTGTGTAAGTACTATTCTCTTATCTATTGCTACCGCTGAACAGCAATGTACACTGCTGTGTTCCGGTCTGAAGTGTACAGAGAGCCAGTATAATGGGTCACACTGACATGTGATAATTTGACTTTTTTTACTTTGTTTACCTACATATTATAAACTAGCGTATTAAACATTTAGCTTTTATATGATTATATCTGTATTTATATGTATAGTCACGATGTGTAATGCTGTAAAAAAATGGGAGCGGGCTTTAAAAAGCACAAACAGATAATCTGCCAAAAGCAGATATTTTTATGGCTGCGCAGTATTTTTCTGAAAAAAAAAATTATCAATAGAAATGCGTGGAATAAAGCTCCAAAGGTAAGTTACTAGTAAAAGATTACGCACGCTTTACCATTGATTAGTAGGTTTAGTAATAGGTAGGTAGATATTAACTGACCGAACCACGAAGTTGCACATGATTTACAACGACATAACATGTAAAAACTTACTTAAACTTACTAATGCAATGAATATTAATCAGCTCGTACTATTAATTAGGAGGTTTTTTACATGCAGAAATGCCCACGAACGGGTTATGTCGGACTCGCACCGACTAAAACCCCACCTTCGTCGCATAGAATCAGGGCCACGGGAACGCTTTTGCACACATCCGTGGCCCCACCAGCGCTGGTCGCCCTATGGCGGCCCCTTCTCGGGAGAGAACTACTCCTCTTCATCTCCTTCTCAGGTAAGGCATTCCAGAACACATGGCGCACCCTCCTCCGCGGCTTCCATCTTCATATGCGCAACAGACTCCCCCGTGCCCGATGTGGGAAGCCCATGGGGTCAAGAAAAACGAGCACTCAAAAGCACTAGCTTACCTAACCCCAGCAGGGGATCTGTTCTATTGCTCCGCCGCCAACCAAGATTCGGCTGCGGAGGGTAGGGAGAGCGGTGCCTCGCAATACCTGTCGGTATCTCTCCTCTCTCACCACAGCAACACCATCACCGCATTAATTAATGGTGTGGCCCCGTTAGAGTCGCGGAAGGATAGGGCGAGTGGCGCATCGCCATACCAACACTCCTCTTCTTTCGTTTCTACCTCGACTGCAGCGATATGGGGAGAAGGCATCCCTCTTGCCGCAGCCTGCCAACACACATCCGAAGTGGGCTCTCCACAAGCCCACTCGGAGGGGACTCCTAAGGCCGGCGCCCTCAGGCCAGGTATGTAGGTTCCTCTTATTTCATCACGGGTGACCAAGCCACGGCTTCTAAGCCACGATAAGGAGAGAACCCGTTCGGGGGGGGGGGGGTAATTTAACATAGTTCGTCAGTGGAAACATTGTTCCTAGTTTTACTTTGACTTACTTTTGGATAATCTGATTGCGGTATTATGTTGGTAGTTGGTATCTATTGTGTTTTGAATGCAGTGGACGCGAACTCATGCGTGTAATACTAAAGAGATTTGGATAAAATTTAGCATAAAGGTATAACACGATCTACAGAATTTTATCTTCTCATATTATCCGACTTTTATTCCTAAATTTGATCGTGTTCCTTAGGAGAGTGATATAACAGAAATTCACGCTAGCAGTCTTTGGATAAATTGAGTTTTTGCGCCACGTACGTAATATAAGACCAACAACACTGCTCGACTAAATTTCGGCTCGCGGCTGGCCCACGTACATTTTTCTCTAATCTGTTCTTCTTATAGCCTTCATCCACTTTTTCTTATTTCATCCTTTTTCGGGACATTAAAAACAGCTTTTTAGGTGATTTTTCATTTAAATTTGTACATAGAGGTACAATGCAATACTTTGTGATCATGTTTAATGTCTAGAAAATGCACGCGCCTCGAAATGAAACGGGTAGCGGATCACAAAACACTATTACCCCTAGCGGAGAGGACTGGCGTTAAGGCGATACCTCCAGCGAACGACCTTGAGCGTTTGGTCTGTCGAGGCTCGCTACAATATAACGCGTAAGAAATCGCCAAAAGACGCCACCTACGTGCCAACGAACGTAGTATTTATTATTTTTTCAATGTCAATGAACTATTCTATGGAAATAGACACGGCGTACAATGATAAATGTATTTTAATTTTCTTTATTCGGTATATTAGTTGCATTATATTAGAATTATGTGTTCCAATATATTATCTAATTAATAAAAATGACTATTTTGTTTATTTTTAACTATATACTATACTGCTAATATTGAATTAGCTTTTTATAGTGTAAATTATAATATTTGTCGAAATATTAATTATGGATTCGAACTTTACATGCTAATGGTGCTTCATTTTTGTTATTTTCATTTACTTACATATTGAAAATATACTTGAATAGTAGGTATTATTATTTTGTTTAGCTACTGAATTTTAGGATATGTTTTACCTTGAGGTCAAATATAATTTTGAGGAGCAATAGTTATTACCTATTAATCTTTTTATCTGCTATTCCTTATTTAGGAACTTATTAGTAAATTGAGTTTGAGGGAGATTTACTGTTTATAATGCTACATTTATTATTTTAATATTTGCCTACTGGGTAGGTAATTATTAAAATCCATACTAATATTATAAATGCGAAAGTAACTCTGTCTGTCTGTCTGTCTGTCTGTCTGCTCCTCTTTCACGCCTAAACGGCTGAACGGATTTTGATGAAATTTGGTATGGTGATAGATGATAACCTAGAAATGGTCATAGGCTATAAATAATCACGCCATCGTTCTTAGGGGGTAGGCAGTAGGCAGATAACTAAATTGAGTTAGTGATTTTTAGTCGTTTTTGTTGGGACTTTTGCTCTTTCACGTATAAAAGGCTGAACAGATCTGTAAGGTAATAGATGGTTACCTAAAAACGGATATAAGATCAAAATGATCACGTCATAGTACTTAGGGGGTAGGAAGTAGGCAGAAAACTGAATTGAGTTAGTGATTTTTTTATGGTTTTTGGTGGGAATTTTGCTCTATCATGCCTAAACGGCTGAACGGATTTTGATGAAATTTAGTTAGGTGATAGATAGTAACCTAGAAAAGGATATGGGCTATTAATATTCATGCTATCGTACTTAAGGCGTAGGCAGTAGGCAGAAAACTAATTAAGTTAGTGATTTTTAATAGTTTGGTTTAAAAGTTTACCTCATTCACGCCTTAACGTCTGAACGGATTTTTATAAGACTTGGTTAATATAAAGATAGGATCCTAGACACGGACACAGGCTACTTCTTACGGCGGGAAAATACCTCATTCCCGCGGAAATCTAGCGTGATCGTGTCAAGAAGCGAATGACGCCATAGCTACTGAAATGATTTTGATGTTTTTTTTAAATGAGTGTTACTAAGACTTAAAGTTAGTATTTGATCACTTTTCTAACTTAGAGGGTCGGTAGGCGCCATAATTTAGGGAATTTATTATAAAATTTTGATGCATCTGTCTTTATTTAACAGTTTTACTTGGATCGAAACTTAGCGACATACCATCACACTACTTAACTTATAGGGTAGGAAGGTACCAAAATTCAGACTACTTTTTACTTCGGGAAAATATCTCATTCCCACAGGAACCTATACACAGCTACCTATCTACAACATTAAAACTCTGTCTAGAATCACATTACGCCATAGCTATTGATCTGATTTGTATACGATTTTTTATTCAACTGACTGTTAAATTACATACAGATAAAATCTAATTACCTACACCACAGAATTAATATAGTACTACATAACTAGCTACGCTTTAAACTTGAGGAGGTAATTAGATAGACATTTATACGAACTTTATGCTCAGTAATCAATCATAGTGATAAGTTAATACTCATTTTAGACAAAGAAACGGATAGGTAATCAGTTCATCACCGAAATTATAACACCTACACTTAGTTTGTTTACTATTCAACGAGGGAAAATAATTCAATATAACGCAAACCTTCAAATCATACGTCGTCGTAGTGAATACAAGACGCTGCGCCGAGCGAAGAGGCGGTGCGGCGCGAGGGGGAGGGCCGTGCCCAACTGTGCCTACCCAAGCGGGCAGACGCACGAGGGCAGACGTCGTCGTCGCACGTATGCGAATATTGAAATATTGCGTTACGAAACTCTATTCGTTGCGTATTTTTGGTTAGCTAAAA